CCGCAGCGCCTGGCAAGCAGGCCGGGAGGCCACCGCCCCGACCCGGCGCCTGCACCCCAACATCGAGGGCCTGAACCCCGAGATTGGATCCAGCGATCAGGAAACCAGGGCATGGGACCCTGATCTGGGGGCAACACCCAGAGATCCGGCAGTGGGACCCGAAGACCTGGAACCCTGACTCCAAAAACTGAGACTGGAATCCCAAGAGCTGGTTCCTGGGACCCTAAGATTTGGAATCTGAATCCCAATCTGTGAAACCTGATCCCCAGTATTTGGAACCTACCCCTCGAGATTTCACATCTAAACCCCCAGGTCTGAAACTGAACTCTGAATTCTATGCCTGGGACAGGATTCTCGAATCTCTACCTTGGAGCCTGCTAATTGGCACCCACACCCAGGGGTTTAGGCCTCAAATTCTCAGATCTGACTTGTGGGATCCCAAGGGGTCTGAACCTGAATTTGGACCTGAAGTCTTTGCTGAAGACTTAAACGCTGGGGTTTAAAAACCTCTAGATCTTGCCTCAGCACCCCAATAGCTGAACCTAGAACCTCAGTATTAGAACTCTGGGCTTGGGACTCAGACCCTACACTTCCCATTGGGCTGTTTGCTGTCTGAGACTGGAGCTGGGCAGACCTACCCTGCACAACCCAGACTAGGGCCTGAGTGTCCAAAATTGGACCCGAGAGCCCACTGTTTGGGAGTCTGGGACCCCTTTCCGTGGCTGCAGAACTGAGCGGAGGCACAGTGGACAACCCCCTCCCCACAGGTCCTGGGGACAGTCAAGGCATGACCAGCCCTCCCCTCCGGTGCTCTGCTTAGAGGACTCGGCTTCCTGAGGCGGCTTCCTGCTCAGGTAAGGCTACTGGGAGACCCCTGTGGCAGGGAGGGGCTTGGGAGTGGATGCGTGACTTGGGGTAGAGGTAGGTGACCCCAGAGCCCTCTTGGAACCCTGGGTGTCCTCAGGTAACACATCCTCCGCAGGCCTGCCTCCAACTGCTGCTCCAAATACTATGGACACAGCACCACCCCCCCCCCCAAACTCTGGCCTTTTCCCAGGTTGGTGGTGTTTCCAGGTCACTGATGCCCCTCTCCCCCGTCCTTTGACTGCTTTCGGACCATCCCAAGCCAGCTCACCGGTCCATCACGTCTCTCCCCAGTTTCCTTTCTCCACCTCACCGCTCCATGGCCATCTCCATCTGCCTCTCCTCTCTCTGATCCTCTCTGACACCCTTGTCCACAGCTCCTCTCTCCAGCCTCCCGTCTACCACTGCCCTCTAACCATCACTGACCTCTCTGTCCACTATTCTTCCCGCTCATGACTTCATCCCATCCCCTGATCCTAACTCCCCGTCCACTGCCACCTCCTCGGCTCTGGCTTTTACTAACCACCAATCCCCTCTTTCCTGATCACCGGTGCTCTGACACCTCTGGCCACCTTTCCGTTCTCCGATCACCTGTCTGCTCACCCATCACCCAGCTGTCCTGGTCTCATGATCTCTGCCGTCTCTGGCCTTTCCCCCATCTCTCTGACCACCTCTTCTCCCTCCTTCTACCACGTCTCTCTCTGGCCATCCTCGATCATCTCTGTAATCTCCTCTCCTCCCCGGTCATGTTTGACCACATCTAACCATCTCTAACCATCCAGCTTCTAACCATCTCGACTGCGGTAACTGCCCCCTTGGACGCCCTCTCTGTGGCCACCTCTAAGCCCTGTTTTTTAATCTTCTACCCATCCTGACCTACCCTCCCATTCACTGACCCTCTTTGACCACTTCTAATGCCCCCCTTCCCTAGGCCCACCTGATTTCATTTCTTCTGCCCTCTGACCACCCATGAGACTCTGTCAACACTCTGGCCATCTTCATTGGCATTGGATCTTGGCTAGCCACCTCTGTCTCTGACTGGTTTTGACTGTCTTGGCCTCAGGCCCCTATGAGTTTCTGGGGGATGGTGGGCTGTGGGGGTGTCTCTGATTGCCCAGATTCCCTCAGGTGCCCCTGCTCCAGCCTCCGCCCGCCCTAATGCCTCTCCCCTACCCCTCAGGCTGCCTGCCCGCAATGGCCGTCCTCCACTTGCTCCTCTGCCTGCTGCCACTAGCCCCCGCCTCATCTCCACCCCAGCCGGCCACCGCCAGCCCATGTCCTCGCCGCTGCCGCTGCCAGACCCAGTCACTGCCCCTGAGCGTGCTGTGCCCAGGGGCTGGCCTCCTGTTTGTGCCGCCCACGCTGGACCGCCGGGCCGCGGAGCTGCGCCTGGCAGACAACTTCATCGCCGCCGTGCGCCGCCGCGACCTGGCCAACATGACGGGCCTGCTGCACCTGAGCTTATCTCGGAACACCATCCGCCACGTGGCCACCGGCGCCTTCGCCGACCTGCGTGCCCTGCGCGCCCTGCATCTCGATGGCAACCGGCTGACCGCCCTGAGCGAGGGGCAGCTGCGCGGCCTGGTCAACTTGCGCCACCTCATCCTTAGTAACAATCAGCTGGCAGCCCTGGCGGCCGGGGCCCTGGAGGACTGCGCCGAGACGCTGGAGGACCTCGACCTGTCCTACAACAACCTGGAGCAACTGCCCTGGGAGGCCCTGGGCCGCCTGGGCAATGTCAACACGCTGGGCCTGGACCACAACCTGCTGGCCTCCGTGCCCGCCGGCGCCTTCTCTCGCCTTCACAAGCTGGCCCGGCTGGACATGACCTCCAACCGCCTGACCACCATCCCCCCCGACCCACTCTTCTCCCGCCTGCCGCTGCTGGCCCGGCCCCGCGGCTCGCCCGCCTCCGCCTTGGTGCTGGCCTTCGGCGGGAACCCGCTGCACTGCAACTGTGAGCTGGTGTGGCTGCGGCGCCTGGCCCGCGAGGACGACCTGGAGGCGTGCGCCTCGCCCCCCGCGCTGGGCGGCCGCTACTTCTGGGCTGTGGGCGAGGACGAGTTCGTGTGCGAGCCGCCCGTGGTGACGCACCGCTCGCCGCCCCTGGCCGTGCCGGCCGGTCGGTCTGCCACCCTGCGCTGCCGGGCCGTGGGGGACCCCGAGCCCCGGGTGCGTTGGGTGTCACCCCAAGGCCGGTTGCTGGGCAACACGAGCCGGGCACGCGCCTTCCCCAACGGGACGCTGGAGCTGCTGGTCACAGAGCCCGGTGATGGCGGCACCTTCACCTGCATCGCGGCCAACGCTGCCGGCGAGGCCACGGCAGCAGTGGAGCTGACCGTGGGACCCCCGCCACCCCCCCAGCTGGCCAACAGCACCAGCTGTGACCCCCCGCGGGACGGGGACCCTGATGCCCTCACCCCGCCCTCTGCCGCCTCAGCCTCAGCTTCAGCCAAGGCAGCTGACCCAGGCACCCCTGCCGACCCTGGAGTCCAGGTGACTGAGCATGGGGCCACAGCTGCCCTCGTCCAGTGGCCGGACCAGCGTCCGATCCCAGGCATCCGCATGTACCAGATCCAGTATAACAGCTCCGCCGATGACATCCTGGTCTACAGGTGCATGGGCCAGGTGGCATGGGACCTGGGGCAGGGGGGTGGGGGGCGGCCAGCACAGGTGCTAACTAGTGCCCTAGGGTGCACCACGGCTCAAAAGCCAGCTTCAGGCTAGACCCCAAGTCAGAATGCAAGGGTGACAGCCATTGGACAGATGAGGCCCAGCTGCAGGTGGTAAAATGAACTCAGGCAACAAGGGCAAAAGAAATGCTGCAGCAAATGTCAAAACATGGGCTCCCAGGCTAAAATATCTGTGTGTGTGTGTGTGTGTGTGTGTGTGTGTGTGTGTGTGTGTGTGTAGCAGTAGGTGTACAGGCTCAGTGTGGGGGAGAGACTGTGTGTGTGTGTGTGTGTGTGTGTGTGTGTGTGTGTAGCAGTAGGAAGTGGTTACACATTGGGCTGCGACTCGGAAGTCCCACAGTTCGAAACCACCAGCTGCTCCAAGGGAGGAAGATGGCACTTTCTACTCCCATAACCAGTTGCAATCTCAGGAATTCACAGGAGCAGTTCTGCCCTGTCTCCTGGGCCCACAATCAGTCGGTGGCTGTGCGTTTTTATCAACCAAGAATGAGCAAAGCCATCCGGCTGCATGGTGTTGCTGTGAGTTGCTATCAAGACAGTGCCGACTCCTAGCGATCCCATGTGCACCAGAACCGAGCACCACGCGGCAGCTCCATCCTCACGATGGTTCTCATGCCCGCGCCCGGTGGGCGTTGCAGCCACGGTGTCCGTCCACCCATCTCGTCCAGGGCCTGCCTCTTTTTTGCTGCCGCTTGCATCGGAGTCGGTGCCGATTCGTCGTGACCCTCCAGGCCAGGGTAGAACCGCCCCTGTGCATTCCCGAGACTCGCCTTTTTGAACCGCTAACTTGTGGGTTGGAGCCCAGAGTGTAACCAGCCGGCCACCAGGGCACCTTGCCGGCCGCATGGGTGAGGCGCAAGAAGGCGACAAAGATAATGGCAGCAGACCTCAAAGGGAAAGGAAGCACAAAGCACAGGGGACCCCGCCAGCAAGGGTCCAGAGAGCCCAAGGGGACAAAGTAAAGGCACAGGTGGCAAAGTAGCAATGGGGGTGCTGAGAAGCCACCTTTTCCAGGGGATGGGGCTGAGCCACAGCAGGGATTGTGAGGATGGGAGAGGACTGGGCAGTGTTCTGTTGTGTGGTGTGCTGTGCTGCTGTGACTCAGAACCGTCTCGGCACCACAGGACCCAGGACCAGCCAGGCAGCAGGCGCTGAGGCAGGAGGGTGTGGGGACCCTGGGACAAGTGAGAGGAGCAAGAGCAGCCCCTTACAAAGCAAATTGAGGGAGGAGGTTAGGAAGCCATCAGGCTTCCGGCCTGTGTCCCGCGTGTTTGGAATTTGAACGTCGAAAAGCGAAAACAAAGACCCCCTCCTCACTCACCGCCTTGCAGTTGATTCGGACGCCTGGTGACCCTGCAGCGTCCTAGGACACAGGGGTGGCTTTCTGAGATTGTCGCCCAGGACGGGAGTAGAGAGCCTCACCCTGCTCCCGCAGAGCGGCTGGTGGTGTCCAACTGCTGGCCTGGTGGTTGGCAGCCCCATGTGTCCCCCGCGACACCACTGGGCTCCAGGAACGCAAATACAGGGTCCGAGGCCCACCCACCAGATGAGCAGGATACTCATTGAGCAAGTCTTGGGGACTGCCTGCTCCCCTCCCTTTGTGGCGGACTCTTAAGCTTGGGGTTCGCACGCTTTTACGAGGCCGGTCACTACAATGTGCACTCCTGAGCCGCAGGGCATTTGGTGCCTCTGCCTTGGCACCGTGTGGTCAGTAGAGGTGGCTGCCGGTACTTCTGACTAAGGTCGGACTCTGCCCAGACAGCTCTGGACCACTTCCTGCCCCACTGCCGGCTGCAGAGGTCTGGACCTCTGGGAGGCGACTGTGGTCAGCACCTCCTTCCCTCCCCAAGGCCCACACCCCGAGAGCTCATCACAGACCCAACAGGCTCACCCCACTCCCTTTCTGAGACGACAGCATTCAGTCACTTCCAGGTGGGAACCTCGCCCGACCATCACTCACGTGCAGCCCCCCTTCCCCAGCAGGGGTCGATGAGACCCATGTTTTACTGGACAGTGTCCTCCCACAGCCACAGGGTCCCCTGCACCTTCCTCCTTCAAGCAGCCCAGGAAGAGGTGGGGGAGTCAGAGAGCCCTGCTACCGAAAGGGAAGGCAGGGGAATTGGGTGGGAAGGGTGAAAGAAAATGGGATGGGGAAGGGTAAGTATAAACCAATTAGCAGAGAGAAGGAGTCAGATGATAGAACGGGAGGGGGGGGGGAACTCAGGCAACAAGGAGGGAAAGAAATCAACGGCTGATTGAGGTAACGGTGAATTTAACGGAAAGGCCATCTGTGATAGGATTCGCTGGAGGACAGGCCATTGATGCAATGGGGGGGGCGGGGGGAGGGGGAGTTAGGACAGGTTAGGGGGAAGTTGGGTCTAGGAGAATGAGGCTGGTAGGTGAGAGAGGAAAGGCAGGCAGCCGGAAAGGGAGACTGGGCACACACTGGAGAGCAGTCCCGCAGGAGCCAGAGGGAAATGGGGTGAGGGTCTGGAGGATGATTGGCAGGTGGGATTCGAGCGCTACTGAATGAGCAGCAGAAGGAAATGGGACATTCGGTTCACACAAAGTGACTAGAAATTGGGGCAGGGAACTGGAGACATGCCTGGCAGAAGAGCAGGAGAGAACGTGGGGAGAGGGGGGCAAGCACATGGCCGGACTGCAGGCAGCAGAGAAGCAGAGAGGAAGCATATGGGAGGGGGGGTGGCAAGAAGGCTGTGGGGTACAACATGGTATGAGGCTAGAGGGGAAGTGGGTGGCTGGCCCCGAGGGAACTCAGGCAGCAGGTTAGCATGCGTAGTCAAAGAGGGTCTTGGGTGGCGGGTGCAAGGGCACTGAGATGGTGGGTCAGAGCTCGTGTGGCGAATAGACCTCACCAGGGAAACAGACCAGGAGTCGAATGAGTGTCAGACCAAAGGGAACTTGGGTGGGGGTGGGGAGTAGTTAGAGGGGACTCACTGGACTGGAGGGAAATGTGACAGGTGACCTGAGGCTGAGAGCAGGGTCTGACCCTTCTCTCTGCCTGCCCCCAGGATGATCCCGGCAGACAGCCGCTCCTTCCTGCTGACGGACCTGGCCTCCGACCGTTCCTACGACCTGTGCGTGCTGGCAGTCTTTGAGGACGGCGCCACGGGGCTGACGGCCACGCGGCCAGTGGGCTGTGCCCGCTTCTCCACGGAGCCGGCGCTGCGGCCGTGCGGGGCCCCGCACGCGCCCTTCCTGGGCGGCAGGATGATCATCGCGCTGGGTGGGGTCATCGTGGCCTCTGTCCTGGTCTTCATCTTCGTGCTGCTGATGCGCTACAAGGTGCACGGGGGCCAGCCCCCCGGCAAGGCCAAGGCTTCCGCCCCCGTCAGCAGCGTTTGCTCCCAGACCAATGGCACCCTGGGTCCCACGGCAGCCCTGCCAGCCCCCGAGCCCTCAGGGCCCCGAGCGCATACCGTGGTGCAGCTAGACTGTGAGCCCTGGGGACCCAGCCACGAACCTGTGGGGCCCTAGCCCACCTCCATGGCCCTCCTGGCCCCCAGGAGCACCAGGACCCCAGCCCACCATGGGCCTGGCCACGGACTCACCAAATTGCTCATGGTTTTTAAAACTCTGATGGGGAGGGTGTCAGGGGTACCAGGTCACGACAAGAAAGTCCTATTTTTCTAAGCTTGGGCTGGGCCCTCGCCGGTGTCTCCATCTGTGGGGGGTGGAGGGCTTGCTTGGGTGTCTGGAGCGGAGGAGTGTCCTCTCGGAGGAGGGCTCGACTCCCCCCACGGTGTTCTGAGAGGTGGATGGGATGGCTCTGGGTGGGCCTGTGTTGGGTATTGCTCCCATGACCCAGACGGCCTGCAGCCCTGCCCTCGGTGGACTGAGAGTCCAGGGGGCAGGCAAAGGTGTGCCCAGAAAATGACCTCCAGGACCACCAGTGCTGGGCTGAGGAGAGCCGAGAGGACTGTGGGAGCCCAGAGGAGGCGCCTGCCTCAGCCTAGGGTGCAGTCCAGGAGGGCTTCCTGGAGGAAGAGACAAGATTCCTGAAGGAGATCATTGGACAAGCAGCAGGGGAAAGCTACTGCAGGGCATGAGGTCCCTGCCCTTGGGGTGCTTTGGGGAAGGTGAGATGAGGTGATAGGTGGAGCCAGGACTCCCAGTGGGGGGAGAAGGGAAGGACCCTGTCCCTGACCTGACGGCACTGCGGAGCCTTGATGGCTTGTCTGCCAGGCAAGGACCGGATCAGACTTGGTCTTCAGGGTTTAGGCAGCTCCCTGTAGTCGCCGAGAGGAGGGTGGACTGAAGCTGGAGCCCAGGGAGAAGCACGGAGGAAAGGACGGGCGGGTGGGTGGGAGGGAGGCATACTCTGAAGCCAGCAGCTGGACAACAGGCCATTAATGTAATGGAAGACAATGGGCGTGGCAGGGGGCGGACTTTGGGCAGGTAGAGGGAAGTTGGGTCCAGGAGAATGAGGCTGGTAGGTGAGAAAGAGTTCTGGCTGAGGAAAGGCAGGCAGCCCAGAAAGGGAGATCAGAGCAATTCAGAGCCAGAGAGAAACTGTGGGCTGTGGCCTGAAGGGCCTTGGGGTCCAGAGGCATCCAGGGTGAGACCCCAGGCTCTGACTAGGGGAGTGAGTGTAGAAACCACCTTTCAAGGAGGGGGCTGATTTGGGAAAAAGAGGCTGAGGCCACGGTGGAGCTGGTGAGGAGGGCACAGAATGTCCAGAGAATATTACCTAAGAAGCCACAGTTGCCCCTGCCCACCCCAAGCTGAGGCTGGGATTGAGAACAGAAATGGGACTTGTCAGCAGAGATGAGAAGAGGCAAAGGTGGATGAGGCAGCCTCTAGGAAGGGTCCTGGGACCCAACCTCTGGTTTTTCAGGCTTATGGGACAGAGAAAACCCTAACCTAGACTAGCCAGAGCAGCCAGTGATAGGGCTCACTCGACCCACACCATCAGGTCTGGCCTAACTCAGCGACAGTCTGGGTAGAACTGCCCCTGGGGATTTCCGAAACTGTAAGTCTGCAGGAGCAGAAAGCCTCATTGTTCTCCCTCCGAGCTGCTGGTGGTTTTGAACTGCTGACCTTGTGGGTAGCAGCCCACCACATAACCACTACGCCGCCACCAGGACTACAGTGTTGGGTAGGGGGAAGAAGACCCGGCACATCAGCCTCACGTTGCCTTTCTTGATCGAAAGACTGAGGGGCATCAGGGGGCCCCCTGGCACAGGTGCTGGATTCTGCAGAGTTGAGGGTAGGAGGTCAAAGAGCAGAGAGAGGGTGTGGAGACACTGAGATCCTGCGGGGCAGGGGTCTGGCTCTTCACCCCGTAGGTCCCTCTCAGATCTTGGAGATTTGGGAGGCCTGGACCCAGAGCCTAGGAACCACTGGGCCTCCTTGGGGACCCGGGGATGGTGTTGGGGTCTCCAAGTGTGGGCCTGGAGGAGGTGAAGCGGAGGCGGTGCTGGTGTGAGGGGCCTGGTGAGGGGGTCCAAGTGGACCTGGCCTTTCTCACGCCCTGGTGCACACCACACCAGATTGTCCTGGGATGGCAAACCCTAGGGCTGCCACAGTTTTCTTGGGACGCGCGGGTCTTGGAAATGATCCCTCATCAGCCCCAGGAAATGCTAGGGTCGCCGGGACCTGGTCTGACGCACCAGTCCACCCACAGCAACATAAAGGTTCCCCCTCTTGTTGGCTGAGAACGCGGGTCAGGAAAAAATGGAGTGATAAGTCTTGGGAAAGGGGGCCTAGGGAGTGGGAGGCTGGATCCTTAGTGCCAACTACAAGCAGAACTAGTTGTTGCCAGAGAGGAAGGAGACCTGGCAGCCTAGAGGGCTAATGTCAGGCCACTAGTAGAAGGTCAGTGAGTCAAGTGTAAGGTCAGTGGTTCTGCTCCCGTAGAGATGTATGATCTCAGAACGCCTCCGGAGCAGCCCTCTGTCCCACGTGGTCGCATGAGTCAGTCGGCTTGGTGACTGGATTGTTCTGAGAGGGAGGCAGGTACACCATCCTGAAACCCTCATCTTCCATTGGTGCGTCTGCCAGGTGCCAAGTGCTGGAGAGTCCACCCTGGACAGCGCGACCGTCTTGTGGGGATGCAAATGGGAAATCAGCACACAAGGGCTTGCCGTGAGTCTGCAGTGACAGGGAGCGCTGTGCAGGAGAGAGACCCTGGAATAGAGAGAGATGGCGGGAGGCTTCCCAGAGACAGACCTGAAGGATGGAATCAGCTGAGCTCCCAGTGGTTGGAAAGGGCAGTCTGTGCCGGGGGACAGCATGTGGGAAAGTCCTGGGGCTGAGGGAGGCCTGGTAAGGACTGGAGGAGGGGAGAGGGATGGAAGATTGGAGCTGAGGAAGAGGAAGGGGCCAGATGAAGCAGGGCCCTGTGGGCCCCGGGAGGAACCTGGATGTCATTAGGTGTCCTGAGAAGCCATCAGAGAGCAGTGAGGGGAAGGGAACAGGGTTCTCGGTTTTCTGGGAAGCTTCAGTAGTGGGTCTGTCTGCACGTGCAGAATAGACTGGGCAGCAGGGAGAAGCAGGCCAACCTGTGAGCATGCTGCGGTACTGGTCCAGGCAGCAGGGAGGCCCTGGACCAGGTCAGTGCCTCGACTGGCTAGATTCCAGCACGATTTGAAACTCCCACCCCTACACAGAAAGGCAGTGTGGCCAGCAGCCAGACTCCCTGGTCCTCCAGTGAGGGGGCAGAGACTAGACTCTGCTCTCGGTGTGGGTACCCAGCATCTGACGGCCAACGATCCAGGGCCTGCACGGGGGACTCACTTCCCCACAGCGTGGGAATAAAGGGCCGTTTCCAGGTCCAAGTGCCAGGCAGCAAGCAGTGGAGCAAACAGTCCTCCCTGATGGCAGAGCCTGTGGCTGATCCCAGAGGAAAGTAGGGCTTGAGGGGGACACGCAGCAGCTTGGAAGGTGCGAGGGTAGAGGGAGGTACATGGGGTGGGTGGGGGTGGCCCCTGTTAGTTACTTCCTTGGAAGAATGTCTGGACTAGCCCCCACCCTCACCAGAGACCCTTTGACTGTGGCCATTGGTACTGCGGATCCAGAAGTCAAGGCTAACGTTAAACTTGACTGGCACTGCCCAGCAGAGTCCACCCAGCCCCGGAGCCCAAGGCGTGCTCCTCATTCCATCCTCCACCCAAAACTGGCTTTGAGGGAGGCACGCCGCGGAGGCTAGGTTCCCAGGGCCCAGAGCTCCAGTGTGCTGGGGCCGTTTGATCCTGGATCAGGACGCAGGACTTGCCCGGTCCTCTTACCGTCCAATTCCTGTCTCCTGCAGTGAGTAAGTCTGAGAGGGACCCTGTGAGTGGCTGGGGACAACTGTGACCCCACAGAAGGTTTCAGCTGGTCTTTGCAGCAGCTCCTCACATGGACCCAGAGGTGGGGAAATCTGATCCGGGAGTTCTCGCCAAAGGATGTTTCTCTTCCGTGCTGAGGGCTCCTGGTGAGGCTGGGAAGTGAGGGGTGATGGAGGGAGCCCGGCTCTGCTCTCAGAGCTCCATCTAGTGGGGAGAACAGGTACTCACCAAGCGTTAGCTTTACAGTGAGCCTGGCTGGGGTGGGGCCCGAACAGACCAGAATGACTAGGGGCATCTTTGTGCAGACGCTCAAGGGTCTTTGGGAATCCAGGGGACACTCCCGACTCAGCCTGGGGTAGGAGATGGGGAAAGTTCAAGAGGATTTCCCGAGCACAGGGATAGTAGTCACCCAAGGGCGCCAAGGCTTAGAAGGACCGTGTGCTTGGTTGGAAGCCCAGTTGTCCCATCTCCAAACCCAACCAAACCCACTGCCATCGAGTGGATGCCGACTCACAGCGACCCTATCAAACAGGGCAGAACTGCCCCTGTCTGTTTCTGAGACTGGAACTCTACGGGAGTAGAAAGCCCCATCTTTCTCCCTGTCCCCATCTGGAAATTTTAAAATGCTTTTTGAGCTAGGGGTCCCACATTCCATTTTGCACTCGGCCCCACACATTTTGTAGGTCCGGCCCTGAGGGACAGGAGACCTGCCAGAGAAGAAGACTAGAACCAGGCAAGGAGGGGGCTTTCTAACGAGGGTCCATCTGCCAACAGCCAAGAAAGGGGGACCAGGGGCCTGTGCACCGGGGGGATGGGGCGGGGGTGGTGGGTGGTGGGGAGTGAGCTCAGCACGGGATAGTGGTGGCCAGCTGCCAGGCTGAGTTCCCACGCCATCCCTGGGCGCTGGAGCACCAGGACAGATGACAAAGCAGGCGGAGAGGAAGGGGTGTGGACGTTGAAAGATCCGGCTGGTTCCTGTGAGGAGGGTGGGGGAGGCATAGTAAGGAGGGAGGGCAGGGGAGGGCTCAGCCCAGGCTGTCTGCTGCCTAGGGGCCTCAGAGTACCCATGACCCTCAGCAAAGGACAGAGGAAGAGGGGCCCGTGTGGGCAGGCCCGCTGTCAGGCAAGCCCCTGAGGAGCCATGGGTGCTGAGGTGACAGGCACCCCGGAGAGCAGGCGAGGTGGCCCCAGAAGCCACAAGACGAATGGGAGCGTCACTTTCACCTGGAGATTGTCCCAGGTGGGGGGAGTTAAAAAGGGCAGGTGAAAGAATGCCTTTGGTGAGCAGTGGGGATGGGGAGTCGTCTTCTGTGAGGGAGACGCTGATGGAGACGAAGCCCAAATTGCCAAGTTTCAAGACAG